CCAAGAAACAGTCGTCCACTGATCAAGGCAGGCCGAGATCCCTTCCGCCAGCGGAGGACTGTTGTGAGATACTACTCACTACTACTCACTTACTAGTACGCAAAAAGATGCGATCAGCGGTTTCTTTCAACGACTAAAAGTCAACAAGACCTGTTGGAGAAAATTGCTGCTGTTCGGTATGGTGAGCACAAGAATGCTCATCTAATAGTGGATCGTTCCATCAACTATCCTGTGCGTGTGAGAATTCTGCAACCTTGCTCCCAATGAGATATTTTGTTGTATGAATGAAAATTTAACCACATCTCGAACGTTATTGGCAATAAAGAACTACCCTTGACCAGCCTCTTCTTTTGGAAATATAACACTAATAGTAACCTACAATGCAGCGTCGCGAGATTCAAACAAAACCCAAAGAAGATATATAAACCGGGTGTTCTGATGGGTTAACTGATAAACCAACGGCAAACCTACCGTGGGAAGTATTCCTTGCGCTTCCAGGTCCGGTAAGAGGAAATCCGGACACGCGGGTTGCAAGTCAAACGCACCATATGGAACATTATTGGGGACATTGGGCGCAATAGGAGTTTCCGCCTCGTTTGAGGGATTCCCATGACAGGTGATTGACAAACTCATGTTGTCGTCGAGTTCCACGGTCACTTGTCGTGAGACAGAATGTGGAGTAAGGTGTGACTGTGTGGCAAAATGTTGCACGCGGCGTCTGGTCCAGAAACGCCAGTGTCTTGATGCATTTAGAGCCAAATGAAAGGTCCTAAAGTCAGAATCCTGTGAACAGGGAGAAGTAAAGAAAATTCAGTAAAAATTAACTCCAAAAGAGCAATAACACAAACCTGGCAAACCTGTATATTCCATGAGATAAAAATCCCGATTTTGCTCATGTTTTTAGGGTTATTATTTAGTACGGTTTGTAGAATAGGGTTTAATGAGTACTTACTAGACGAAGTACCTAAGAAGAAACCCCGAAGAAATGCTTGTTAGTTGGTGCCTTGATCAATCTGTTACCGAATAAACGAACTGAATATTCGCATTTGATAGTAAAACCCGAAACATGGCTTGTCACGATCAAAAGGTGCACCGATTTGCACTGTTTGCTCGCCCCCGTTATTGCTATTATTATCTTATACAATCAACCACCTGAAGCGATACATTGAGAATAAAATTCCTCTTAAACGTATTGTTCGAAGCTGCGTATGGGAATGGTCTTTGGCCGGTTTGTGAAAGACTAATTCATCCAAGCGTACCTCTGAGGCATCTATAGTATTGTTGAATCGTGACTAGCGGAGCAATAAAGTATTTGACTTGTGGAATGCCTTCAGTTGGAGTGAACAGGATGGATCCGTATAGCGAACATTGATACTTACATTTTGGGATATCATCATCTTGACGATAGGCAGAACTGGTTATTAAACTGGTATCCAAATGCGCTCAGGTAAAGCTGAGGTAGAACAGGTCGTGTTTTTTCTCTCGTAAACTTCAGTCAAAGTAGAACAATTGAGTAAAGCCAGAAGTGAATAATTTGTCTCCAAAGTGTTTCATAATCGAAGATGAGATTTGTGGTAGACAAGTGCTACCAATGATGCAATATTTTTGGAACGTCACGCTCTGTCATAAGATTTCAGAGTTCGTACTCAATTAGTTACGAATGAAACGCAGGATAACTGAATAACCAGAAGTGATTCATTAAACTGAGCCACTGTCTCTTTTCAGACCAATCAAGAGTGCTTTCACTAAAGCCTACCGGGTGGGCTCCACTGTGCATTATGCAAAGATTGTTTATAGCATCATAGAATAAACCCTTCTTCCAGTTTATCCCTCGGATTCAAGATGAAAGCAGTAAGAAAATTGATTAATTTTAAGCTGTATATTTGTAGTGTCAAATAATATGTACTGATTCTTTCCCATACTAGCGGTATAACCAGCAAACTGCTGTTCTTCACCTGAAAGTAGTATTTCAAAGTTGACGACTGCCAAACCGCAACCAAAAAGCATCGTGCAACTGACATTGTATCAAAAGCTAGATCATCAATCAACCGCATTGGTTCTTTTACTGGAGTGCACTTTCAGGGTTTGGCGATCAATGAAAAACTCACTGGATATTGTAGTGATTTGGGCGATGATATTATATGCATTTGAAGAGCTTCTGCTGCATGTTCGCTGATCAACTTGCCTTGTGTTGCTTCTGCTCTGAATTAATTAACATTTTATTTATCTTGTGCGATCATTCGAGATTTCTCAATGTGGATTGGGAGTCTATTTCAATAAGAACGCAGATAGCTTGGGCACTTTCCACACCACTCTCTTTATGGGGCAATGAATTTGACTTTTTACCCAATTGTTATTATCTTTTTTACTTATTAAGCTTTGAATGATTTAGACAATGTTCGGAAAAAGAGCTTCAATCAATTTCAAGCTTCTTCTGAGGGTACCTAAACGCAAAGGATGAGTGCCGGTGGCGCACTTTCAGCTTACGACCTCCGGATCACTGTGGTGGTGACTCTAGCCGCCAGCTCAGGGATGATGAATTGCCAAAGTAGGCCAAGCTATGCTTCCCAATTCGGTGCCAACTGCTCTGAGTACTGACTAGCTACCAAGCAATTTTATCATATCACGAACTAGTTATAGTGATCATCAGGTTATTCGCGAAGGTGGATGAAAATAGGCAACGATTAATTTTAGGGCTGTAACAATAAAAGTAGAAAAATGAAGTTTCCGGTGCGTCGTGCGTGCTCATAATCAAACAAGCCTAGATGAATTTGGGTGTTGGCAATTAGGTTGTCAATTGCACTTCTGGTCTTGACGAACGTTAGAGCGGAGCAAGAGATAGAACACCCCTAGCTTTGATAATGATTTGGATATCTGTGACTCGTTCATCCGACCGATATCGTGATTGATCATCAATTTGCTTGAGTTTTGAGAACAATAGGAAAGTTGTCCCAGACTCTCACGTTGAATGTAACTTCAACACAGAAGGACTCGACCAACCGGTCGTGTTTCGTCAGAGGTTGCCCTGGTTGTGGAATCGAGGTGTATTTGGATACCTTGGACGTTTGGTCCCGTCCAAAGGGNGTGGATAGGAGCTCCCGATGGACTGCGGCCTGTGAGCTTCGTCCTTCTGTCTTGCAGATTTGACTTTCTAGCCAAAGACTTCGGGTGGCACACAGTCTGAACTCAGATGTGTGTGAAATATATATATTTATATATATATATATATATATGTATATATACTGAGGACCGAGTAATCTCAGTTCATAAGGTTGTAATTATCACTTGCACTTCTGTTTTGGGAGATTCGGGTAAGTTTGTGCGCTATAGATTCAGCCATATTCACGGGAATACCATTTTCGATCGTGACAGTAGAAGAATAATTTACTTTTTAATGAACTAAGGTCAAATGCTTTGAATATACTGGTCAATGTTAAATGAATTATCCGAAAACGTATGGCGTGCATTGGAACATTTAACTACTCTATTCCGTTTGAAACTAATAGTTTGTCAAAGTTTATATTACGCTACATATTTGGACTAGAAGATTAGTGATTATACCCGAAAAAGAGCAAGGGATACAATGACGAGCACTAAAACATGACTAAGTAAGCGACGTGTGATGTTTGCACATGGTATTCTCAAACGGTTCAAAAAAATGTGACCTCAAGTTCACAGAACTCCACATTGGAAAAAATATTCGAGGAGAGTCTAAATCACATTCATGGCAGTTTAGGTTAAATGGAATGAAAAAATAGAGCAAGTGAGGTGTGATCGCCCTTCATTTGCTCCGTGCACGACTAAATTTGCCTTATGATCAGAACCAATCTTACACCATTTGCATGAAAGAAGACAGTCTAGAGTCGATCGTACATATAATTGTACCAAATGAAAAACAAAGCACACCGGGGACAACAGTAAAGACATACAGTGCTTTCAGGTGCTCCCATTCCACAGATAGTGTTCTTTTATTTACTGTAAACGGTTGCATTTGTCATCTGACAGTGCACTCGAAATAGAAGAAAAAGACAATACCCAAGCTTTCCAACTATAAATTTCAAGTTGCAGTCTTTTATTGCAAAATAGTGGTATGCGGTACATGATATACATAACAAGTAACCTAATACTAGCTTGCATCTTATGGATCAACTGGCCACTGTGGTCGCGGTGACAGAAACGCGAAGGAAACATCCCAGCCCGATTGTGCTTCGTACCAAAACATTGTCATGAAGAAATTTTACCATGGCTGTCTTCGGTGGGTTGAGAGTTGTTGGACAACAGTAAAACATATACCTATCCGATCGACGATCCCAGAGCCATTTTGGCTCGTCTTCTAATATTTATGATGCTTAGTTAGGTTTTTTGGTGTAATCCCTCATCACTCCGGTGTTATAAAGCTTTACGATTGTGTATCAAATAGAAATAAACCCATAGTCATGATCAGAACATAGAGCGTAGGCCTGTGTTCTGATGAAGTATCAATGGGACTAAATAACGAGAAGTTCGATTGGGAATCGGACCTTTTCTTCTTTGTCGTTTTATCCTACCCAGTTAAGCAAAACAGAATTTTAAGGTCACTATGAGAAAAAAAAGTAATCCGATATATGTATCGAGCGGTCTTTAATTCAGGATCATTTGTTGACATCATTTTACTCCCTGCAAGCATTACCATCTTGTAGAAAGTAAAAAGTAAGGAAATGTATGCAATATGTATGTCTACGCGGATTCTCCAAATAATGTCTCGGAGTAAACCTTAAAAATATTTTAAATTCCAAACTTGTTTTCATCTCAAAGTAACACTTATAATAATTGATAATGGTTCAATTCTGTTCGATTCTTGCAGCTCATAGAAACTGGAATTTATATGAAATGGGATCAGTGACAAACGTTTGAAAGAGATAAACTTAGTAGTCACACTGACTTGATGCTCACTAGCGAGACCAGCAAATTCAGCACTGACACCTGGGATGAAGAACTACAGATGTCCTCCCTCCTCCCGTAGTTTGATGGCTGACAGTTAATTACAAAACACTGAAGGAACTTGTATCCAACTAACCCAGAAACGATGGCAGAACTCAATCTGCGTTCTCTGGCGTTCTAACATAGCTGCACGGATCAGGGTCGCGAAAGCCTCCTTGGCAAGGTACTCTCGAAACCGGTGAATAGCAAATTCCTGTCGAGAACGTTTCTCCTTTTTCTGCTTTACCCACAAACGCCATGCAGTCCATACTTGAGCCTGCAAACATAAGGACCAACGATACAGCGCAATCTGACCCAGTTTCCGCAACCGACAAGATTCTTTGTATTTTTCATACCAATTTTTGATTGTTGTCATCTGACGGAGAAATAGGAAAAAACAAGCGGATAAAAACGGACCTAGTTCGGTTCGAAGGAGAAGCAAGCGGGATCAACGAAAACGTAGTGAAAGGAGAACTAAAAAGTAGATTGTGATCAATTGGCATTTCTTAAAACTACTTTTCTACTTGTTTATTCATTAGGCAGGAAGCAAGGAGAGTACGAATTCATGGAACATTCTGAAAAAATAACTCAGTGTCTCAAGATCAGCGCGTTAAAACAAATTCACACAATCAGACAGAAAGTGACCGTGAAAGGTAAACAAGTAAGCGTGTAAAAGGGCTAAAACGACAGCCTAGCGAACGGAGAAATGATCAAATAAAATTTGTATTCCGAAACACCTTTACATTTAAAAAAACATAATGATACAAATGACACAGTAGTATGGAAACACTGTTTTGCATTGATAATGGTATATTAATGATGAAATCAACCACGTTAGATGTGATGAAAGTAGCATTATGCATGCAATAAAATATAAGGAAACATAGTTTGTATGATGGGGATTAGTACGTGTGGGGTTCTACTCAATTAAACTACCCCTTCTACGGCAAAAATCTATCAACCTTACGAATATTTGCTGAGATATCAGAAATTCAGTGCAGTAAAACTCGGTAATTGAAAACAACACACTGTATTCACAAACCTTATCACTCAGAGCTTTTTCAGATACCGGTTATCAACGTAATTTTATGTTGGCCTAAAAGATGCGGAGGAAAATGGCATATGTCTTGAGGATCGAAAATCCAGCAGATCGAGAACGACTATCTGCATTATGATGTTTAATTAACAACCCTTTTGGAGCGTGAAGTTTGTTTTGGCGATAAGAAAATGAGGAGATTGCAGACCATATCCCATCCCGTCCAGATCAATTCAGTTCAGAGTGGACTTCAAGGATTTAGTTCTGTGAGAGATCTGGCACAGACGCAGGTGAAGGATTTGTGCAACACTGAAGAGGCGTTGAAAATGATGAGAGAACGTTTCAAATCAAGCGAGAAATCCCACTCAAAACAGGTTCCTTTTGACCATTGGTGTAAGATGGCATTATTATGTATATTTGTCAACAACTCGGTGTTGTGAGCAGAGTTGATAGTAGGCTGGGTTTCGGTTACCACGGATTACCTTTCTCAAGGCAATCTTTTGATTCGTTTGAAAAGTTATCGGGAAAACGGCTACTCGCACCAACCGAAACACCTGCTTATCTTCAACTCGCATAAAGCTTGCCCAATAAGGAGAGAAAATTACGCATACCACTCAAAATAGACTGTGAACGTCAGAGCTTTGGCATTCTCAGTTTGATTGCTAGTTTGTTTGGAGCATGCACATGTTTCATATTTGACATCTAACAAAAAAACGGTTGTGTTACGCTTCTGGAGTTTCCGATCAACTGAGAAATATGATGACCGAAATAGGATTCGTCAGGAGAATTTTTCCTGAAACAGAACTAAATTAGGTGGCTTGATTCATCTGGATCCTGGTTACTAACTACCGTTCTTTGAAATGAAAACAATCAGTGGTGAGTTTGCCAGTTGGAAAATAACAGGTTTAGGAATCGCATATATGTATATATTAAATATTGTTATGTATATATATTATATATATTGTTATTATTACTATATGTATGCATATATATATATTATATTATATATATATTATGTATTATATTATATATATTATATTATATTGCATATATTATTTATGCAGCGCTGTACCCTGACAACAATTTAGTGCACTACAATTCGACTCAGGCCATTTGGGCATGAAACAGTCTCGGTGGATCAACTCGAGTCGATTCGATACACAAGTGGAACACGGGGAAAGTGTGAGTCCAAGAACTTCTCATTCGGATGAGAGGCCGACTGGGAAGGCCACAAATTTGCAAAGAGAAGTTAAAATCATGGGTTAGCACAATGTGTGTATTAAAATTTCATTACATCTGCAAAATATGCATACTGCAGTCAACGAACTAAGGAAAGTGAGACAAATGAAGTATTGCTAATGATCACGGACAGCACACAAAAATCAAAGAACAGACGAACAAACAGTGAAGTTATTAGGTTAACGAATTGCCGAAAACTATGAGGAAATAAATGAATTCAATCGGCTGGGTTGATTTGCCCCATACACCGATCAAAATGCAGTGAAATTATCATGGATTAACCCTGTTTATGACTCCGCCAAGCACTAATTCCTTAGCGTTTGCCGACCGGCGGTTAACTCTCTACGTCGGCTCTCAGATGATCCTGGAGATCCTAATGACCATCAAAATTCTGTTTATTCGATTACCCGTGTGTGTAAGGTGATGAGCAAATGTACTCGGTTTATTGAAAGGTCTAATAGTCAGTCCAGGAATCATGCCACTTCATGAGTACATGAAAGAGAAACTGATTCTTTTGTCAGGTGAGTAATGGAGGATTTGTTTTGATTTCAAAGGTGAATTCGTCGTGTATATAGCAGGTGAAGCGTGAACTGAAAAGCCAGGAAGCATTGGACAGTTGTTTTGACCTGGTTGAGTCTCATCAGCAGTGTGAATCCACTGATCCAACAGGAGATCGAACCCGGGAGTACTTATGTCGAGCATAGGCGGACATTGTAAATTCGGAGGCAAAGAAAAAATGACTAATCCTGGATTATTATGTGTAACAACACATATGTGAAAACTGGTGTGACGATCAGCAAGCACTGCGGGCATTCACTCCTAACAGACGGTAATAAGAAACGTCAAAAAAAACCTAGGCTTGATCAATTCGTTACAGTGAACCGGAATTCACGGACTTACTTGTAACGTCACCGAATGAAATCGATTTGCTGCGAGCTTCATTCGTAACTTTTCCCTGTTCATCGCACACCAGGCTCGCCAATGATGAAAAGTGGTGTGCATCAAGCGATGTAGAGCGTGCTGATGGGCTAACTCCAGATTGCGTTTCATTGCGAGGGATTGGGACCACCGATTGAACGAACTGTGCAACGCAAGAGTGCGAGACTTTTCACGGAAAGAGAATTCAGCCTGTTGCATCTGTTCACGTTTCTCACGTTGCATCCCAGTCCATGCATGCCACGATGAGAAAATCTTTTGGTGAGAATAACATATGAAAGAAATGCTTCTGTGGTTGTATAATCGTTAAACTAAACTAAAATAATGTGAATAACTCAGTATTTTGCTGAGAATTCGCAGTTCATTCTGAGTTTTTTTTTTCGAATAGCGAAGAAGCCAATCAATAAAACGAAACTATTCGAAGAAAACTGGTTGGAGGTCATATGTGAGAAAGAGGACCATTTTCTTGAAAATAGTGAACACATGCATTTTAGTACAGAATGCTGCTGGAGTCTCTTCGTTTGCGAGAATAAATAAACTAGAAAAAACCAAATAGAAGGATTAAAAATGTTCAGATTAGTGAAGGTAATAAAACTGGTACCCTAAGGAGCCTATAGTTGAGAACACTAACAATCCTATAATAACACCTTCTCAACCAGTCAACTTAGCAGATTTAACTTTTAAATATCGATGCATCAAAAGGTTAAAATTGCGCTTTATTCCAACATGTAACCAATTACAGAGAACTGGCAAATGTGTCACAACATATGAAGAAAAAATCTGAAGAATGTGTTCGTAGGTTGTGTGAGCATGTCACTTCACGGTTGCCCTGATCGGGGAAGGGGGATAACCTTGGAGTTCCCACCCTAAGCCTTCGGCTAAAAAGCTAAACCTGCAAGACAACAGGAAGGAGCTCAGAGTCCGCAGTCCATTGGGAGAACCTATTCAGTTCATTGGATCNATTGGATCATACGCCCTTTGGACGGCGTCAAACGTCCAAGGTACCCAATACACCTCGACACCCAATCGTGTGTGTGTGTGTGTGCGTGTGTGTGTGTGTGTGGTTCTAAGGCTTTCGGAGGCTACTACTCATTAACGGCAGTCTGTCTTGTGAACACGATGAGTTAGGACCACTGAGCGCAAGACAGATTAAATGAACTAGATTAGTGTAAACTCACGTACAGTAGCTATCGAATGAATAACAACAGTGTAACTGAGAGGTTATTCAAATCATTTTCAATAGAGTAACGCACCAAACACAAAAGCCCGAGAGTATATAGACTTCTATCGTAACCAAAGTGATTCAGTACATTTAAATTAAGCTACTGTGTGCAAGGGCACATCTTCTACTTCACGTACTACAAGAATGTCGAAGTGGTAGTTAAGATAACTATATTACCGTTTGATTTCTAGACAGCGTGGTCCACGTACAGTTAGAGCGAAAAGGGATCAAGTACACAGACTTTCTCTGGCTGTTTTCCAAGATGATTCATTCAAGGTCACAAATGATGGCATGACAAAGATGTTGAAAATCAAAATCGGGTCCAGGTGCAACATAATATTGCATTCTTAGTATATTTAGATTTGTATAAACCCAAAAGGTTCAAGGGAAAATCCGAGCGAAAAAACAACAAGCAGTTACCTGTTTCAATCGACGACTTTGTTTGGCAACTAGGAAGTTCCGGATGAGTATAGCTTGTTCTGTACGGTTACAGGTCCAGTGCTTCCAATTGTTGAAACAAATGCCTAACAATTGGGAATCGTGAATTCGAAGCTTATGAGCCACAATGGCTTTGTTTCTGTGGTTACGCCGTTGGTAGGCATGCCAGCGTGACAGAACCAGACGTAGACGTGTTCTGTCAGCCTCCGCCTGAAAAGAGGTACACACGGAGAAATGTGACAATGCTGCCGAGAAGGATGATTTGTTAGAAGACCAGAATTATAAAAGACCATTCCAATTTGATTGGTTAAAACAATCCCATCCTACCACTGATTGGTCTTCACATTTACGGAGGACGCTCTCATAAAACGGTTTTGAATAGAACGATGAAAAAATGATACCTAAAGTTAGCTACACCTCAGCTGCGATGTCCGGGTGAATTGAATCGATTACATGACCTCAAAAGCGGTTGGTTCATTTTTGTAGCCATGAAACAATGAGCTGCTCAAACGGTGATAGGACAAAAAATGTCGAAATGGAAATAATAGGAATAATTGTCTCATCGGCTCGTACACTCATTTCATTCAGACTGTCATAAATTGTCTTGAATATTCTTCATTGATGGTACTTGCCATCGAAACCATACAACGCAAACTATTGCATTGTAGTTTGGAAGGCAATTAATGACGAATAGTTTAGGTATGTTCCAGCGGAAAGTTTTGCCTATTCGTTGCGCTGGACAAGCAGCGTTTGCAAACACTTCATCAACAACCAAGGTGACAACATCCTGGCGAACTGATGAAAATAAGTGTCGTCAACCGGAACTACCAGATCAAATTTTCAATACTCTGTCAAACTATGGTTTGATAGGAAAATAATTGTATAAACGCTTAACATGAATATAATCTGTCATGCGTCCCCACAACAGAATGATCATTTGGTCATTACGCTAATTGCACACGATGGTCAACTTTTCTAGTTCAGCATCTGGTGAAAAAGCATAAGACATTCGATCAGTGAAATGAATTCAACCAAGATTTCAAGCTAATGAGCGGAAACACTAGATAAATGATTTTATTCTGGTCTAAATTAACATCCTCTCATTAACAACAATGTTTATTTTAAATGTACATTCGGCTGAAATCTTAATTTCTACGAGTTCTCATTTTCTTCTATTTGCAGTTACATACATTATTCAGAAATAGCGCATCTTTGTGTAAACTTGTAGCGATTCATGAGTTATACTTATTGGAAGGCCAATTTTAAAAGTTTCATGTATTGCAAACCTGCTCGAACTGGACAAAACAGTGATCCATTTTTAAAATTTTTCTTTGAAGCATTGTTCACAAATGAAATATTTTTAATTACGCCTATTTCAACAGACTTGTCAACGAACATCAATTCAAGACTATGCTTTAAATGAGATAAAAAGGGTATGACATTACCACACTCAATAAAATCAGTCCAATTTATCCCCATAGGGTCGACTAATATCATGGAGTAACTGTTACCGTGTATTTTGGACATCCACAAAAGTATCACGTGATCGGTTTGCAAGAGAGAGAGAGAGTCACCTACCCTCATTTGCATGGCGCGTTCCTCTAGTTGTCGTGAGCGAACCAACTGGCCGTACCACTTTCGAAAACATTGATAGAGAATACTTAAACGCCAATGTATCACAGCTTGTTCATGTTCCAAATGCACCGCAGTCTGTTCGACCCAAATTCGATACCATTCGATCAATCGGTAATGACGTGTCCGTTCGATAAAATGTAAGCTAGCCACTCGGCGTAAATAGCGTTTTTTCCGTCGGAGAACAACATACCGATACCAGCATTTGATAACGTGACACAGAAGGGTCTTGCTATGAGAAAAAAAGCAACAGTGTTACTAATTTAGTCATCCTTTGTAAAAGAAACCACGTCNCCAATTATCATATACAAATAAGATATAAAACATCAATTGACATTTTGGGTGTACGTGTGATTCGGAACAAACCACAAAAATTCGGATTCCGGTGATCAAGACACGTGAACTGGAGATTTATATATGACGGTTATTTGTGGTGGAACTGATTAAATTCGCCAGGTGAATGGCGAGGCAGATCACCGAATGAATCATGATCGGAATCGAAAGTCTGATGATGGCCCTGAACTAGACAGCTTTGACAATGGCGAAGTCAGCTGGCCACCAAAAGGTGTACATATCTTAATGATATAAAGCCGGAGCGAAGAGATTTATGGGGCTTGCTTTAGTCTGCGAATCAAAGCCTGAGCGGTTCTTCAGAAGCACTCAGCACAGAGCAATCAATTCGATGAAACTACTCACATTTCGGCCTCTTGTCTGATTCGTGTATCTCATCAGAGATAATCGTTTTCGACATCAGACAATTACGTGTATTTCAATGACTCGACTAGTATTTGTATGCACCTTGTTGCACCATCGGTCGGGAGAACGAAAAGTGACGGAATAATCTTTAGGTGTATTGCTTCCGTTGTTCATTTTCCAAACCAGTTCGTCAGATTCTAAACGACAAGAACACTAAGACCCATCTGTGTCAATCTTTTCTCCCGGCGGAATTTCCAACCGCTCACTTGTTATGACTAGCCTACCTCCAATTGGTAGTTCAGTTCGTTTTGCAGTGCACACTAGCTCAATTATCCTAGCATGCCATGGCAGGGCTGAAATAACAAAACGAGCAATGCACAATTTGCTTTCCAGATAATCAACCACAGCGGCGGAATTCTAGCTAACTGGGTGGACTACAACGGGATCGGTCGAATACCAGACAGTTAGTGTGAAAGAATCGTACTAACCGGGTAACGTTCAAATGAACTAGAATGAAACCATATACGACTATGGCATGGGATCCTTATTTGTTAGTTCACTTTGTAAGCAACTCTGAAATCGTTTCCGTTAAAAAATGTCAGCCCTTCCGGCCATTGCACCACTTTTTGCACCCAGAACATAATGGCAAATGTTGTCATCCTTAATTATCACGTCTCGTTTCCAAAAACACAAGAATGGTGGCTTCTATTAATATTGTCCATTTGAGATTCTGTACATCCAGCCCGACAGATTCTCATTGCTTCTAAAACGCATCCCTCGAGTTAAAGAAAAGGCTCGTATGACTAGTGGTGCGCGCATTGAAGCTATACAACGGTCAGTTTCGGTCAAAAAGGCCATACATTGCCCGAATTGGATATATATATCTTCAGACTATTTCGGGAAACAATAACCGTCGTGGTATGTAGCCAACACTGAAATACCTCTGTAGCTCACGCGGACGTACTTTTCATATGTAGAACACCTAAATCGTCAATTCAACACTGCTTCTGTCCCATTGGCGTCCGCGAATGAGTGTGACCCCGTCTGTCCAGCTAAATTTATGAAGGATCAGATGCACCTCACATCTAACAACGAACATGTCTCTGATCAATTACGTTCCGTCTGGTGGAAAATGTGTTTTGAGCAGCCCATAGGTGTTCAGTTTGTGTCCTCTTGAAGTATTACAGATTGCCGGAGATCTACCCAGATCTACACAAATTCCAAAGAAAGATAATGATCAACTTTTTAGCAAACAATGATGTTGAGCTTTCGAAAGAATGCCGGTAACCGGATGGTTCCCTGATCTCCTTCTCATGACTTTGACTCATTTCTATTTGCTCAGAAATTTTGGCGTTCTACAACCGATTGGAAAAGTTGTTCATTCTGCTGGTTTGTTGAAAGATAATCGATCTGGCACTACTGTGCGTTGAACTTTCATTCATTCTATTATTGCAATGGGTCGCTTGAACGTGACATTTTCATTCGACGTCTTTCTGATTGAGGTCTGAGACCTTTTGCAGTGGTGGCTAAGTGGTTAGGTCACCAACTTGTGACCTGTTAGTCCCGGGTTCGAACCGCTCCGCCGCCGCCCGTCTTCCTGGGCAGCCTTTCTATGGCTGCGGCCCCCCTTCCTGAATGTTGACTGCACATTTGTATATTCAACAAATAACAAAGAGGAAATAAAAAGACATTTATTATTATTTACTAATGCATATGAAGCAAATCACTTCTGTAACCCGAAGGCTTCCCTCGCTCTTAAAGCTAATTTCAGGGGGTTTGAGTTGTGTAATTCTGTCTCCATTCTTTCTCTCTTCTGTACACCCATAAAATTTCCGTTCCTTCAAACTTTATCCATTTGCAAGTGCGCTGATGATATGGCAATGTTCTGTTTTTCCGCTGGTCTTGACAGCTTTCTACAGCTAGCTCCAAGACCGCTAAAATCACATCTTTAGCCCGTAAGGCCCCTCCCGCGATCCCTGATGCTTAATATCGATGTGTGTTGATGGTTCTATTGGCCTTAGAATGCATCCATCATCAGACCTCTCTCAGTAATTAGTTAGAACTCATTGTTAATCTTGATACAACTTTCAAGGCCAAATACGTAAAATAACTCGAATTAACCTCGTGGAATAAATTTTCTTGGTCGAGACATACATTACAAATAACTGCATCAGGATTCAAACACTATCCCTCTAAACTGCCAGTCTTAAGAAACTTGTCGGTCCTTTGATTTGATCCCTAAATTTATGACAGCTTTTATTCTTTCTCGCTGGCTACACTGTTCCCAGCACTTTTAACTAATCTAAACGAAAAAGGTTATAGTCATTTCCATATCGATCTAACTTCCTTCTCGCCATAGTGCTATTCTCAAGAATGTCTTGGATGGTTTTACTCTCCTCAAGCATTTTATTGCTTATTTTATAGTGATCCATTCACTACTACTACGATTCACCACTATTCGCATACCCATTTTAATAAATTTATCCCACCCCAGTTCTCGCTCGAAATGAAAGTTTTGTCAGCCCATACTGTCACTGACTGAAAAAGCAACACCCCTTATCTTACTCAACCCTACATTTACCACGATGGGCTCAGTAAATCCTCTAATGTGTTAGCATTGTTTTCTTTCTATTACATGCAACTGTTTTCACCTCTGAGTGGTTTTATTTCTGTTTCTTGTGCAAAACGCTTAAAATTCATCCTACTGGTTGGTGGTGGTTTAGTCGCTTTCACAGGTGTACTTTGGACCCTACGGTCCGAGGTTCGAGCCCCACCGGCGCCACCCAACTTTGGTGGTAGGCGGCTTTGCTGTCGTCCGGTTCAATTTCACGCCTAACCTATCGGGGCCTTATGTAGTTCACCATTCCAAGTCGCTGGGCTAAGGTTCCCGGTTTCCATCACTGAACAGCAGGTCCGCGTGACTATGGAGTTTACCCCGTCTGGTGTTCATCACACATAAGTGTGTAATCAAAAAATACAGCCTATTTGAACTTGCCTTGACCCCGTCCATACTATCCCCAATCTCGGAAAACCCGGTAGGTTGTCAGTTTGAAATCTGTTTGGCGTTATTTTGATACTGGTGCTCGTTAACTCAAAGAAATAGGTGTACATGGAAACTGGTGGTAGCTGGACAAGGTTGCTTAAGATGAACTTCCTCGAGAGAGAGTCATGGCATGGATATTAACGGAAAAGATATTGCAACACAAAACAACAGTACAATTCACGTTCACAATGACTAGTCCTTGACACTGACATTTCATTTCCAACCTGCTGAACTTCACACGTATTAAATTAGTACTTGGTACGACACTCGCGCGATTATTATTATTATCTGGATAAAGACAACTCTGAGGAAACAAAGGGAACTCACTTGTGCCAATTTTCTGCAACTCTGTGTTTATCCAAGCTGGTCTTCCAAGCTGAAAAAGTGCGCGCGAGAAGTGTTCTGTTCCCACGCACTTCTCGAAATCCATTCGCCAAAGCCAGAATCGAACTGCATTCACTCCGACTTTCTAAACATGCTTGCCACCAACGAAAGAAGCGCGATAATACCAGGCGACGATGAAGGGCACATGCATCACTCCACTGATTGTTCTTGTCCATTTTCTGCGCATTCCATTTTGCGACCCAAATGGAAAAGGACCATTTTAATGCCTGAAGAAATAATTGGTCAGGGTGGAAGCAGCCCCGACGGAAAAGAATAGAAACAGGTGAAAAATGGGAGAAATTATTACAATTTTGCCGATAAAAGCACCGAACGTTAGACAAATTCACTGCTAGTTTCGATCTGTTGTGATTGTTCCGGTGTAATTGAAAGCACGAATCCCATCAAATTGACAACCCGGATTCATTCTTCAAACCAGGAAACATTTAATCGGTGCAAAACTACATGCAACTCTAACATATTACCAAGCGCACCATTGGATTTGCTCACATTTTTTATTGGAAACCGAGAGATTTACGGTTCGAGAACCGTCATCACCCTATTGCATCATTCTTGGAGTAAGATTAGTTAATAGTAAGTTATTGGCAGAACAGACTGGAGGAAAGACCAAATAACGGAAGCAATTTTATGAAGAATGTGATAGATATTGGTAACCCTACCCCTCGGAAGATCATAGTTAATTCACAAGTAACTATATATTTTCTGAACACACCCTTCTGCCGGTATTATGGTTGTTACGGGCAATTTCATTGGTGATCGTGTACAGCGTATTGCAACTTACAATATGGGTGAATTAAGAAGTGAATGTGATCATTGAATTCCAAATGAACCTTGGATGAGAGAAAACAACAACGCGGGGAACAACTATTGCCAACGCCCAAAGAAAAGCACAATTAAATAGTGAAAAGAGTAATTTTTCTTTAAAGATGGAAAAAACATGGCCTTCATCGGTTGTTTGTCTTATCCTTCCGCCAAACTGCGACAGGATCTTTCATATATCCGTCTGGATCAAGTGAAACATTGAAAAGCTCTCGTGTGACAATATATGCTTTATTCACTGTTTTCATGTTGCCTACGATAGTAAAACTAAGATGGGTGAGAAATACCCATGTGAGCTTTTTTAACAGCCTAGTGCCATATCAAACTCTCAGTTGTGGTTATTACATTAGTTTTGTATTCGTTCCCCTAACTTTTCCCTTTATTCCTTCCAGTTGTATGTTGAATGTAGCCCAGATACTGAGTCCATGTTTTATTTCTGTTCAACAACTTTTGTATTTGATTCGTTCTTATCCCAAAATGGAACGTGAACTTCAACTCGAAAATTTCCATGGTGATCTAAACCGTAAATGTTTCAAAGTACGGTAATACCGGCTTTGCACTTTCGAAAAATTTCTCGCCAAAACCCCGATGGGCAATTCCGAATAATTGGATTTTCGTTACAATTACATCTCATCGAGTGGCTGCGATCATGTGGTGGATTCCACATCATACGACGCTGCTATTAAAACTCGGGAAAAATTTTTTTGATTAAGTAGTCTAATGAGGTGTTTCACGCAATATTTTTTAGTCCCCCACAGAAAAGAACAAGGTCAAAATTTCGATCGGTTTTTCTGGAAGCTAAAGATGGCGGAACAAAATTCAAAACCACTTTATTCAAGAAGCGTACATGAGCGGAATGCAGTTAAATGCTTTACGATAGCGTCTTCTTCAAAGCCAATGTTTATATCTATATACATGTCATAGAACTAATTAGCTAGGTCGCTTGAAACGACACAACGGCTTCATACTTCCCAGATGCCACCGAATTGGTATACAGTTATGGTATCAGGATCATACAAAAAGAAAGATAATCACTCTTCTGATTGCCAGTAAAACAACAGCACATCCGTACAAATATCGTCCGCAGTCAAAACCTAGTGCTACTTCTGCGGAAACGACAGACATCCACGTCCAGCTAAGGATGCAGTTTGAAGTATTTGAGGTAAGAAGTGACATTTGAAGTGAGTCTGCAGAGAGAAACAGTTAACCTCAGCTGAAATGCATGCACTCGCAACCACAGTCGTTACTTCCGCTTCGACTTGTCTCACCAACGCACTGATAAAGATCAAGGGGAATAAAAACGCTATGGAGGCTTTGATGGACACCGGAAGTTGTGAAAATCATATTTCTGCATCCATCGTACAACAAACCTATCTGAGGACCATGTGATCATCCAGCACGATCTCAACGGCATCCACAAGACGTTTTAGTTATCCGAAAAGCTGATACCCGTCAAAGTACGCTTACAAACAAATCATGCGGCAATTTCAAACTATCTCTTCTTCCACATTTGTGTGCAGATACATTACCAGGACATCATTTTTTTCGAGATTTCACAAGCAGTTAAACGTCCGTTCATCGATAGAAAGCCATCTCTTTCCCTCTGCAGTAATACTGCCGCACGCATCGAACCACCATTTTTCTTCGGAAACGTATCGCCTGACTGGAAACCGATTGTAACCACATCTAGACATCACACTGCCGATGATGCGAAATTCATTCATTCGGAAATTTGCCAACTTCTTAAGAAAGGCATCATTGAAACTTCAAATTCAACCTGGCGTGCACTATCCACAAACGTCTTGCGCAAAAGGCACCTTGTCATTGATTACTGTCAAACTATTACTCGACACACGCTGACTGACGTCTACCCACCGCCACGAATAGATAAATTAGTGTCTAAAATATCACGATACATTATTTTTAATGCCTCAGACTGACGAAATGCACACCACCAACTCGCTACTGAAGATCGACTGTTCACTACATTTGAGGTCTGCGGTAATCTATAACAGTGTTGTCAAATACCGTTTCGCGGTGCTTGCTTTCAGCGGGCAATCAGCAAACGCATCCAGGAGGAAAACCTAGTAGTTTCCTTGGCGCACATTGACAACACTATTGTATGCGGAGTGAACAAAGACGACTAGGACAAAAAACAAACTAAATTTTTCAACGACCTTAGAAAATATGGGTTTATACTCTATACGAAAATGTGCATCATTGGTAACGAAGAAGTAAAACTCCTGGATTACTAAGTGTCACACAGATTGCTAAAACCAGATCCCGAAAGATCGAAGGCACTGGTATAACCTCCATCTACGAAAACCCTCGAAGCGCAACGATGGGTGCCCGGTTTTTCCTCATATTTCTTTTATAGGATATCTTGATTCTCGGACTAAAAACTTCTCTCAGTACAGAATCATAAACTCCTCTACTGGATGACATTAGATCGACCTTTGAAATGCTCGAAAGCGAGCTTGAATGCAGTCGTCACTGCTATTAACTCAAAGATGCCGTTAATCGTAGAAACAGATGTCTCAGATGTAGCTATTTTGGCTACCTTCTCGTATAACCGGAGGCGGCAGTCTTAATCTCTTGAATGTTATTTCAAAAGGAAAGATATCATTCGTCCTTAGAGAAAGGGGCCAGTGATATTGTCAAAGCTATCCGGAAGTGGAAACACTGTTCGTTGGGTAAGTACTTCAGATTAATTATAATTAAAAAATCTGCTACTTTCAAGCTCAACTCGAGACATCGCGGTAAAATAATAACAATGCAATTTAGAGATAAAGGATCAAACTATCAAACTATTTGAAAAAACAAGCAACACAATATGAACAGAATTGATATTGGCCATTAATGTCACGTGCTCTTAATCAGCTGTCAATGCACTTTAAGTGGGTCGGAATGTCATTAGAAGAATACTATATATAGACATTTAAATAGTTACATGGGTTGAGGTGAAAAAAATAGGTCGTTGAGTCAATATCAAAGTCATTTAGAAATGAGTAAATGAAGGGCGGGTTAATGATTACAAAGATTCATAAAAAGAGAATGTTAGCATAGAAAAGGTTACGTAATGAGAAACGATTAACCGTGGGAGAAGAGAGTTGAAAACGGTTACGTAGTATCAGATAGATACAACCAGAACGGACGCCTAAACCCATGTAATTATGTAAATATCCGTTTATGGTTTAGAGTATGAAGCGTGGATTAGCCCATTCGATTGTTCAGAGACACAAGGCACCCAAAACCATCAAGCCATCATGGTGCCTCTGAACAATCCAAGCTTCATACTCTAAATTGATTGAGCCAATCACACAAGGTGATTATCGTCGACTGTGCAGTTCAGGAGTAAGGGTTTTAGGTCCCGACCCGAATGTTCGCGGTTCGAGTCCTGACTGGGACACAAAAATTACGCACTGCTGACAAGTCCCAAACAAGAAGAAACAGCTGTCCACTGCTCCCTGTCGATCATCACAAACATTTCCATCGCATTTGAATCCATTCATAGTATTCGCCTAATTACATTCCCACTTATTTAATGTGCGTAGACAGCTGACTGAGAGCACGCGATATTAATGGCTAATATCAATTCTGCTCATATTGTGCTACTTGTTTTATTCAAGAGGATCAAGGGAAAAGAATTCTTCCGATATCACACTACAGTTTTGATGTTATCTATGGCTACCAAAACGTGGCGGCTGACGTGCCATCTCGTAGCTTCTGCTCACTAGAACCACTCAAACAGTTACATTATTCATTGTGCGATTTGAGAGTTGTCCGGATGCTTCATATGCTTAGAACTAAAACTCTTCACTATTCACTCGACAGAGTGACATCCAACAGCAGTGGCTGCGCAATCTGTGCGACATGGAAACCGCAGTTTTGTAAATTTTCTACCAAAAACGTGAACAAAGCCACTGTGCCGTTTGAGAGTATCAACATTGGCTTCAAATGGCCACTCCCATCAGAATGTCGAAACTGATACTTGCTGACGATCGTGGATTGGTACTACAGGTTTCCTTTTGCATACACCTGGTCCGATTATCAACCGTTACATTCATCCGGTACATCAATAATTTATTCCAATTTTCGGAGTGCAATCTGAACTCCATTCTGATGTCTAAAGAACTGGAAAACTTCCCTCATAATTACGGCATTCTATCCAACAGACCAACGACCTACAACCCGCATTCAAACGGGCAAGTTGGGAGCCTAAACGGAAACCCCTGGAAGGCTATCGTTCTCGAGGCCCAGTCAAGAGACTTACTTTTAACTTGGTGGAAAACTGTTCTCCCAGAAACCTTTCACTCCATTTGATGAAAACTAAGCAAAACCGCAAATGCGATGCCCCAGGAGTGGTTGTTTTGCTCATTACCGCAAATAAGCATCAGGGGTCAACATACCAACTTGGTATAGTAGGTTGGTTGAGTAGTAAAGGGTCGGTCTTGATGCGCCACCCGATAGGATTAACAAAAAAGGATCCCTGGCTGAAGAAGTTGAATCGACCGGATGTAACCCTACGTCGATATCCGTTTCCCAATGAGTGGGAAGACACCAAGTGTGTACAGTATTTGGCGTCCAAATGTTAAACCTCTGATTCTATACACCCAGAGAACAATGAATCTTCAATTCCCGAGAGTAATTCTCAGCACCGATCCCATACACGGAGTAACAGTTCCAATGAATCAGACCTCATTAACACCGCTCCTTTGACACGATATACATCCGTTGGTAGGAGCGTAGCAAAGCATTCTTCATGTTAAATTGAGGAAGCAGGAAGCTTAAAATATTTTCAACATACTCCATACCAATAGAAACCACTCACTGAAACGAACATCCTATCGAAATCTGGCTTATGGATACTATATTAATTTTGAACTCGTTCCTCTAAATTTCCTCCTTATTCTATTCAGCTTTAGTTGTCCGCTTGTACATTGAATAAAGCCTATATACTGGGGCTTCATTTCAACTCAGGTCAACGACTTTTGTATTCGACTCGCAAAACAGCTAGAAGCAATACTGAACAGATGGGATTCATCCTGGCTGGAACTCATCAGAATTGTCTAAATTGAGACTCCCCCTCCGGGTTTGAACCGCGAGCCTATGGTTAAGATGAGTATATGGCCTCCACAATCATTGATAATCTATAGTCTACGATGTAATCAAGAACGGATATAGAATTCACTCAATTTCAGGAAAAGGCTTACGCTGGAGTTTTCCGAAATAAGAATTCAATCGAAAATGAATAAAATAATCTAATGCCTATATTTCATGTTGGCTAAATGTCAATAAGTGCCGTCGTCAGCAAATAAAACGAATCATTTAGGTAAAGTGTTCTTGTTAAATCATAAACATATATAAACATTAAAACATCACTAACGCGGGCTCTATTTGACGGAGAAGAGGCAAACAATTGAAAAAGAACATAAATCGTGCACAACGCAATACAAAGAAAAGAATAAAACTCCGAGAACCTGGTCACTAAGCTCAGTCGGGGATAGGGTTTGAAACAATCAACAGACGATAAGCAAACAAACTACATAGGCTTCTCATCCGACTACAAATTCATCATCGTCAAACGAAACATTTGTAGGTTTTGTTCTTATGGAAATATCACCTCACCACCTTCAGAAACAGTAGTAATACACAAGAAAAAATTGAATAAAAATCAAAAAATACCTGTGCTTTGTGATCATGAAAAATTACCATATACTGAGTTCCCACTAACCTTGCTTCTGTGATGCCCATCTGCCAGTACTCTCATATTGTATTTTGACCTCCGAGTTGAAGAGTACTTTATCCATGCCATCAAAACGGAAACCTGGAAAACGAATGAAACAGATAGCTCTTTAGGCCTAGCTACACAACCATAGAAGAAATCTCAAACTGAATCTTCAACAAAAGGGCAATAAAGCAGTATGTTCATTGATTAATTTTATTTTCGATCATTGTCGATTTCAGTGATAAGTGGCTCCATGCTAGAGTTTCATTAGAAGAGAACTGAGAGAGTGTGCAAAAAAAGCTATGTGATTTTCTTCGTGTGGGTAACAAATACAACCCAGATAGCTGAAAAGCCTCGGCAATCAATTGCATTTTTTCTAGACATTAGGAAACAAATTTTATGTGGAGCAGAAGTCGCTCAATATTGACTGTCGAGCGAAGTAAATTAATCTCAATAAGGTTCGGCGGTCAGCTAAAAGATAGAAGGAAACGGCTGACTACTTGTGAATCACGTGAGAGACGAAAAACAATGGCGCCGTAGATGTAAGAACTCTTCTTGAACTCGGTTTAAGGGAACAACAGAGAAGTCGTCCATTTACTTGTTGTGCGTGTGTAGTAAGCAGTATGACTACAGTAACGAGCTCACGAGAAATTCATAGAAATTGT